TCCTTAATAAAAGCTTTTCTATTAAACCCTAAATTGCCAGAAAGCCTGACTCTCTCAGTGATCTTTTTTTGAAATTCACGTTAATTATTTTAATTTGGTTACCTAGCTGACACCACAAATGATAACATTTTGCAACACTGAACGAAAAACTAAAACTGCCAGGTCGAGTATTGTATGGATATTTTAAAATACTAAATTACTCAATAACCAGTGCTAAATAATAACCCCCCACAAACTAAAATACATATATATGTTCACTGCCACTACCTTAATATTAAATCAAAAATAATAAAAACATATAAAATAAAGGCAATCAAATGAAAGAGTGCACCTCAACTTCATCAGTAGCATTGTGATTAAATACATCTCACATATCCCAAACTTAGTGTAAAAACTAAAGATATTCATAAATATCCAAATAAATGCAAAGAATCAAGTGCTGTATTCCTTCCTGGAGTATCCACCACACACCAAATGTGCTCTCTCTCCCTTTAGGAAAAGGACTCACCAGATATATATGCTAACCACTCTCATGACTGGCATATCTCAGTTAAATGGCTCCACCTGAGCTTCCAGACATCATACCATCAGATCACTTCTCTATTAATGCTCAAGTATAATATGGAAAAGAAAAGAATAGCCTTCAGTGGTACAGTAGCCAACCTTACCATAGAATTTGGTTAAAAAGCCACTTATAAGATTAAAATTAAAAACAGCTCATCTCACATAAAAATTACACCAAAGTAAGGTGTACATGATTTACTACACCCTATTGATCACACTCTCTGATCACACTCTCTCATCTCCCAACTGACGCCTTTCGAGAGTACTGTTCTTACAGGACCTTCCCAAAAGGGGTAAATATTGGACATCTGTAAATATTGATCAGAAGTTCTATGTAAACATTGGGGAAACACTCCTATATGTGGAGGTGGCAGAGAAACCTGGGGGAAGAACTGACTTTAGAGACTTGGCAAATTGCATGGTCCCGTGTGGCAAAAAGCTCAATTTGCTCCCTTTTATAAAGAAAATAAATACAAAATACTTCACTATTGATATCGGACCCTAGAGCTTCTCTACTCTGTACACCCAACAGCCAGCTCTACTCTGTACACCCAACAGCCAGTGACTGATGTTAGAGATGTATGAACGAGCAAGGTTCTCTCTGCCATATATATCGGCAACATTCATGTAATAAACCATATTGGTTATCAGTCCACCATCTCCTTCATCAACTCTTTGACTCAAGTATCCCTCTTCCTCTTGAGTTTGCTTCTACCAGCCTCCCCAAAAACTGATAAGAAGCTTTTATTGCATATACTTGCTGCAGCTATATGCTCGATGGCATTCAATTGGAAAAGAACATAACCCCCATCTCTCCTAACGTTATATGCTAGACATATTTTGAATTATGGAGAATTTCACAGCCTGGTTACATGACACTCTAGAAAAGCACAATAAGGTGTGGGAATGGGTGCATATTAGGGAAAATGCCCCATAGACCAAACTCCTTGATATGCTTACATCATGCCTCATCAGAGAAGAGTCCATGATTTGGAGGGTGGCGAGACCATAATTCTTCTGACAGGTTATCTTCTTTTCTTTCTTTCTTTTTTTCTATTGCCTTTGTTTATTTTTTCTTCTGTATGCCACAAGTTCTTGGGGAATTCTAAATTTGTACAGCCTTTGTATGTTCCCGTAACTGCAGATAAAAGTATAGGAAGCATTCTGTACGAAGGCTCCCTGTTCAATCACAAACTGAAGCATAGTAAACCATTTATTATATTTAAGTTGTGAATAAACACAGTAAGTGATTGGTACCTGTAAATTCAGAAAAATAATGGGCCTGTAATTATGACCTATTTACTATCCCCTCCAGTGTGCCTGAGGGACGAAATTGATTCCAGTAATTGCCCCCCATTGTACCAATCACCCCCCTCCACAATCTGATTCCCCCTGCTTGTCCACTACCTGGGCCCTCCTGCTAAACTAATGGGGCCCAGGCCTGTACAGGAGGGCTGGTAGTAGCCCCCTATTGGCAACCGCGGCTGCTCGCATATTTTCAAATGTGCAAGAAGCCAATTTTTAAAAAAAATAAATACCGTCATATTACCTGTTATCTTCCTAATAGTAATTTTTACTGTGTCCAAAACTTGAATGTATACTACGCACAGTATCTACATTTGCCTAATGGAAAAAATGGATTAAGAGAATATCGGCTTGAGCTTCTAAAAAAAAATCAGTTATAGATGACCCCAATAGAAAAACAACTTCCTTAAAAGAAAAGAAAAAAGATTTTTGAGAAATAGGAAGCTTTAGTCAGCCATCTACTACCACAACAAATAAAGAAAAAATGAAACACTATTATAAAATACAGCAAACCTATGGATTAAAGTGACACTAAACAATATCCATATTCTTAAAAAAAATTATCAATACACATTAACTATTTAATGGCCTTGTAATTTATTTTTCTTTCACTTCAATGTCCTCTGTGAACTCCCGAACCTCTCCTATGGTTTGTTTGGAACAAGCAGTGCATGTTAGTGGCAGTCATGTTCACTGCTCTATGCACACTACAAATTCCACAGCATACGATTCCTAGTCCATCTAGGGAGTGAATAAGTGAAAGTGGCTACATTCCTGCTTACAATGCGACCATGGAGAATTAATGTAGTCACTCTCTAACTTGAAGATGAATCAAAGAAGCCAAAAAAATGGAATCTGGGGAGTTAAAGGAGGCCGAGAGCAACAGAAGATACTTTTATGAACAAATAATACATACTAGAATTTTATTTAACCTATGTTTAGTGTCACTTTTAAGCTAGGCAGATGACAACTGAAATTATACCAAAATATCAATTATCTCAAGCTAGCCAAATGCATAATATGAATGTTTTAATGGTTGTAATAAAAAAGTTGGAGTTTTATTTTCCTTGATGTGCAGTAATCCACCTCCATTTTTGCACTTTTTTGGTTATGAGCTATACCAACACCCAGCTATTAATAGGGGGCATTAGATGGTTGACCGACCTTAAGCAGTGTTTCTTTGCTTGGTGTTATTTGTGTTAAGCTGGTCATACGTGGTACAGTTTTTTTTCCTGGCTGAATGAAAAAATGGTACCAATTCCCCCTCTGCACATTGGAAGTGAATGAGGGGATCTTTTCTGCTGTGCTATTTTATTCTGACAGCCGGGAGATGCCCGCTCCCGTGTGGCTGTTATCCAACAGGGAGTTTGGCAATGGCCACACATGGATTTAAATTCGGCCAGTCCCTTCTGAACCAGCTGAATTTAGATCCATGTATGGCCAGCATTAGTTTTCCACATCTGTACAGTAATCCAGGGTGAGACTTTGCTTTTGTGCCCAGTTACTTTGACACTCTCCTTGTACAAGATGATTTGTCTTTTAAATGATCCCCTCCAGTAGTTCTATGCAGACAGCCTGTAAAGGGCAGGGTTTCTCTTACTGCTTTACTGCTTTACTGCTTTGCTCTCTGCACAGACTACGTGCAAGGTAAAAACTTGGTTTTCATGGGCATTTGGTGGACAGAAAGTGGATTTACACTCGCCAGCCACTTTATTAGGTCATCTTGCTAATGCCAAGAAAATATCCCCCACACCATTACACCCCCAGGCTGAACCATTGATCCAAGGCAGGATGCATCCATGCTTTCATGTTGTTTATGCCAAATTCTGACTCTACCATCTGAATGTCATAGCTGAACCAGTCTGCACATTCTCCTCTGACATCAACAAGACATTTTCATCCATACAAAAGCCTCTCACTGGATATTTTCTCTTTTTTTGGACCATTCTCTGTAAACCCTAGAGATCCTCCGCCCTTAAATCATCTGATCTAACCAAGATCAGTGTGATCAGATGCTTTCCCGATCTAAAAATGGCGCTGTTTATATCCAGTGAAACTGAAGTGATGAAATGCTTGTAGCTTCCACTTTTTTAGACTATAGAGATGATTGCCTCATTCCAGTCTCCAATCAGCTCTATGGTCAGCTGCATTCTCAGGTTCCCTGAAGGCACGGGACTGCCTGAGAAAGTTGTGGAGGTCAGCGGGGGGGGGGGGGGGGGCATTTTATCCCAATGCTGTGGCTAATTATCCACGAGGATTGCTTTTACTTGAAAGCCAATTGCTGGCTGAAAACCATACCTGCAGCTGCAGGCTTCATCCTGGTCAAAGTCCAGTGATGTACCAGTACGTCACTGGTCCTTGTTGGCTATGTATGTTATGTTCTTTTTTTATATTACATGCAGCATGTGGGCTTAATGAGGACCAGTACGTCACTGGGCCTTGTTGGCTATGTATGTTATGTTCTTTTTTATATTTCATGCAGCATGTGGGCTGAATGAAAAAAAAAAAGAAGAAATTTCTGCCAGAAAAAGTGTGTGGTATACCCACCATTAGAATATACTGCCCTGCATCCACCCACTTCTAATGTTGGCCATACATTCCTCTATTCACACCGATTGATATGGATGAAGAAAACTCAGCAAAAATGTTTTTAAAGATTATTGCTAAAGCATAGGAGTGATCCACCTACTCTTCACCCCAGGCCCCCATACTTGAGCATATACCATATTTTCCGGCATATAAGACGACTTTTTATACTTAAAAACATACCCCAACAATTGGGAGTCATCTTATACGCTGGGTATAGAATGTCAGCCCGCTGGATGTGCGGTAATACTGTACGGTAGCTTCGGCTACATACAGTATACCGCGCTGAGCCAATCAGGGCGAGCAATGTATTATATTAATGAATACAGAGCCTGCTCGGATTGGCTGAAGTTGTGACATCATCAGCCCACCTCTCTGACACAGCCAATCCGAGCAGGCTCTGTATTCATTAATAGAATACATCACTTGCCGTGATTGGCTCATATGACGTCCTCCCATTCTCCGCGCATGCGTGGCTCAGGGAGCGCGCGGTGATCGGATCACCGATCACGGAAAGAGCCAAAGATGTCGGCTTGGTCATGTGATCAGCTGTGTCCAATCACAGCTGATCACATGTAAACAGCGAAATGCCGGTTATCGGCATTTCTCTCCTCTCGAGCTGTCACGCTGACAGAAGAGAGGAGAGGAGAGCCGGTAATCTGCTTTCCACGGAGGGGACATGTACACTGAACATCAGGGCACTGATGATCAGTGTGCCCTGATGATCAGTGTAGCCCCAGCGGTGCCACCTGTCAGTGTCCATCAGTGCCACGTGCCAGTGCCCATCAGTGCCACATCAATGCCACATAGTGCATACCAGTGCACATCAATGCCACATATCAGTGTCCATCTGAGCTGCCTTTCAGTGTCACCCATCAGTGCCAGTCAGTGCCACCTATCAATGCCAATCAGTGCCACCTATTAGTGCCAGTCAGTGCTGCTTATCAGTGCCATGTATCAGTGCTGCCTTTCAGTGCCCATCAGTGATGCCTGTCAATGCCCATCAGTGCCACCTATCAGTGCCAGTGAGTGCCGCCCTATCAGTACCAGTCAGTGCTGCCTGTCAGTGCCGCCTATCAGTGCCAGTCAGTGCTGCCTATCAGTGCCAGTCAGTGCTGCCTAACAGTGCCAGTCAGTGCCGCCTGTCAGTGCCACCTATCAGTGCCATATATCAGTGCCATGTATCAGTGCTGCCTTTCAGTGCCCATCAGTGATGCCTGTCAATGCCCATCAGTGCCACCTACCAGTGCCTCCTCATTAGTGCCCATCAGTGCCACCTATCAGTGTCCATCAGTGCAGCCTATTAGTGCCCATCACTGCAGCTTCATTAGTGCACATCAGTGAAGGAGAAAAATCACTTATTTACAAAATTTTAGAACAAAAACTAAGAAAAAACATTTTTTTTTTCAAAAATTTCAGTGGTTTTTGGTTTGTTTAAGAAAAAAGAAAAAACCCAGAGTTGATTAAATACCACCAAAATAAATCTCTATCTGTGTCACAAAAAAATGATAAAAACTTCATATGGGTACAGTGCTGCATGACCACGCAATTGTCATTCAAAGTGTGACAGCGCTGAAAATTGGCCTATGCAGGAAGTGGGTATAAGTGCCCTGTAGGCTTGTGGTTAAATGGTGTTGCCTCAGAAGGGGGGTAGTCTTATACGACGAGTATAGCCCAAAACCTATGTTTTAACTGGAAAATTAGGGGGTCGTCCTATACACCCAGTCGCCTTATACGCCGGCAAATACGGTATGTTTTTTGAAAAATCTCATCCAACAGCATTGCACTGACGTATATTCTGAGAGCAAGACCCTGTTTTTGTCAGAATAAACAGATCAGTGCTGCAGCTGAATGGCATTCCTGCAAAGAAAACAGCAATGGTTAACAATAAAACAGTAACTTGATAAAACGACAACACTTTTTTTTTTAACTTTATTTTTTGTTTTGTTTTTTACAAATTGCTTTTAAAAAAAAACTGTAACCTCCAGATGTTAGGTCTCAAAATGTGATATCCAATTTTCTAACTACCTAACATCTTTCGAGACTTTTGTGTATATATGTGCACTAGCCTGTGCCACGTTGTACCCTATATTAATACTCCACTAGTGTGTGGTAGCAACGGAAGCAGTCCTTGAGGCAGAGACCAGGTTGGCCAGGACAGGAGGGCCAAAAAAAAAAGTGGGTGTCAAGCCTAATTCCGTGTCTGCTACAGACACAACATCTTTTTTTGGGGTGACTTTTGGGTTGGAGTACCAGGAATGGCATCAGGAATATGCCTCTCATGCATTCAGCTCATTACATTTGGGTTGGGTGTTTGGGCTACAGCACCTTCTGGATACAAAAGGGCCTCGATGATCTCTTCCTAGAATCTTAGGAAGGATCCACTTCTTCCAGTTGCTTTGTAAAGCACAAAAGTGTTGTACAGAGCCAATTGAAATAAATATACAAACACTTTTTTTGTACCACCATCTGGCTTTATGGAAACTAAATAATGTTTCATTATCTGGTCATTGAAGTACACCCCTCCCATGTTAAAGTTATACTTGTGGACACAGGGGCTTCTCAACAACACCAGATACCATGGAAATTTGGAAGGTCGTGTCTGCGTGAATGGAAGACAGGACAAAAACATTACGTTTTTCCTTCTACTTCACTGCGAGCAATTCATTTTCAAGCAGGCTTTCTCTCCCCTTTCTAAGTCGTTGATGGAAGCACTGAGATTAGGTCACGCGGTGCCACATGCACCAATTCCAAGATTGTACAAATGTCTAAATAGTGGCATGCTTGTATAAAAATTTTCCTCATATAAGTGTTACCCCATATGGAAAAAAGAATGACACCAAGCCGCAAACTATCTTTCCACTGCTTCCCATGTAGTCTAGGCATCCGGGGGCTTCACGTGACTATCATCTCCCTTGTAAATCCAAAAATGACATGTATAGCCTGTTACCTTCTCACAGGTCTTGACCCCATATCTGGCACGCTTGCTGGGGAGAAATTGTTTGATTGCAAGACGGCCCGAAAAATGAATGAGGGACTCTTCAATGCAGATGTATTCCTGGGGAGTATACACATCTGCAAACTTCTGGTTGAGGTGATTTACAAGTTCGCAAATTTTGTGGAGTTGGTATTATAGTTGAAATGCATGAATCACATTATATTCTCATATCTATGCCTGGCCGTGGCAGCAGAGAACACGGGCATCAGGTCTGTGGACCAATACAATCGCAATGAATTTTTTTTAGTAATACCCATGTTGAGGGTAAGGGGAGTAGTTAAATTTGCTGTCTCCACCTCAGTTCCAGGTTGGGCAGTGAATGAGGGAAATACGGGCACTGCAGAATTTGTGGGATGCCAATCGGGATTTGCAAGCACATCAAGAAGGACATTAGGGGCTCTACGAGCCTGTGTTTGAATTCTTGGTGGCTGAGGGACACTACTTGTGCTAGCCACCGCACCAAATTGTACTACACTTTTGGTACTCGCCACATCACGAAGTGATACTGCACTGCTAGTGTGTAAAAGACCAGGATGTGCTAGGCCGCTGGTTCTCACCAGTTATTATTATACAGTATTTATATAGCGCCAACAGTGTGCTCAGCGCTGTACATTACAATGGGAGACAGTACACGAGACAGCACAGTAACAATTAATACAATACACGAGGGGTTCGAGGGCCCTGCTCCTTGGAGCTTACAATCTAGGAGGGAGGGGATAGTGGTACAGGAGGAAATAGCTGTGGGGGATGGAGTGGTAGAAAGAGTGGAGGAGATCGGCAATTAGGTGAGGGCGGGGTAGGCTTCCCTGAAGAGATGGGTTTTCAGGGTGCGCCTAAAGTTGAGGAGCGTAGGTGACAGTCTGATGGTTTGGTGTAGTGAGTTCCAGAGGATGGGGGAAGCCCTGGAGAAGTCCTGGAGACGGGCATGGGAGGAGGAGACCAGGGAACTAGAGAGTAGGAGGTCTTGTGAGGAGCGGATAGTATGTTTTGGGTGGTAAATGAATATCAGGTCGGTGATGTAGTTTGGGGCAGTGTTATGAACAGCTTTGTACGTCAATGTTAGTAATTTGAATTTTTTGCGTTGGGCAATCGGAAGCCAGTGGAGGGATTGGCAGAGGGGGGCGATGGATACGGAGTAGTTAGTAAGATGGATGAGTCTGGCCGCTGAATTCAGGATAAACTGAAGCGGGGATAGCCTGTGATGAGGTAGGCCGGTGAGGAGGGAGTTGCAGTAGTCAAGTCTTGATATAATGAGGGAGTGAATGAGTTGCTTTGTAGTTCCTGGGGTTAGGAACACGGACGTATTTTTGGAGATGTTGTGGAGGTGGAGTCTACATGAATTTGTCAGCGATTGGACCTGGGGCTGGAAAGACAGATTGGAGTCTAGAATGACACCTAGTATTCTGGCTTGCGGAGTGGGACTGATGGTGGCATTGTTGGTCGTGATGGAGAAGTCGGGGGGGGGGGGCGTGGGCTGGGGGGAAAACTAGGAGCTTGGTTTTGGAAAGGTTTAATTTGAGGAAGTGGAGTGACATCCAATCTATATGTCGTTCATAAGGCTAGTGATTCGGGTGGAGACTGAAGGGGTGAAGCGAGGGGTAGAGAGGTAGATTTGCGTGTCATCGGCATAGAGATGGTAGTTGAAGCTGTGGGAGTGTATCAGTTGGCCAAGGGAGGAGGTGTAGATGGAGAAGAGAAGGGGGGCCGGGGACAGAACCTTGAGGGACCCCAACAGAGAGGGGGGAGTGAGGGGGAGGTAGCAGCGTTATAGGTAACACTGAAGGAGCGCTGTGATAGGAGGAGAGCTAGGAGAGAGCGGAGTCTCTGAGGCCAAGAGAGTATAGTTTTTTGAGGAGGAGGGGGTGGTCGACCGTGTCGAAAGCCGCGGAGAGGTCAAGGAGTAGGAGCACGGAGTAGTGGCCCTTAGTTTTGGCGGTTAGCAGGTTGTTGGTGAGTTTGAGTAGGGCGGTTTTGGTGGAGTGAAGGGGACGGAAGCCAGACTGTAGGGGATCAAGGAGGTTGTTGTCGGTGAGGTGGGAACTCAGGCAATTATAGACTAAGCACTCAAGGAGTTTGGATGTAAATGGCAGCAGGGAGATGGGTCTAAGGTTGTTTAGGTCGGTGGGATCCAGGGAGGGTTTTTTAAGTATGGGAGTGATGTGGGCGTGCTTCAGAGGGGAGGGGAATGTGCCAGTAGAGAGGGAGAGATTAAAGATGTGAGTGAGGGTGATCGTAGGAGTTGTGTGGGGACAGGGTCAAGGGGGCAGGTGGTAAGGTGGGCTTCAGAGAAGACCTTAGTGACCTCTTCAGTGGTAGCAGGGTCGAAGGAGTGGAGTGTTTGAGGGGGTTTTAGTGTGAGGAATGTTGGGCGGGGTGGAGGTCTGGACAGTGGCGAGGTCGAAGAAAAGGAGTGTTGAGGGGGTTTTCGTGTGAGAGATGCTAGGTGGGGTGGAAGTCTGAGCAGTGGTGATGGCCCTACGAATTGTGTCAATCTTGCTTTTGAAGTGGTTAGCAATCACGTGGGCTGTGAGTGAGGTACTGGGTGGAGGTGGGGCAGCAGAGAGAGTAGAGAGTTAAAAGTAGAGAAGAGCCGGCGAGGACTGGAGGAGAGGGTATTGATGAGGGTTACAAAGTAGGCTTGCTTGGCAGCGTGGAGGGAGGAAGTGTAGTTGCAGAAGGCGGATTTATATCGGGTGAACGCTTGTTGGGATCTGGTTTTGCGCCATAGTCGCTCCAGCACACGGCTGCGTTGCTTGAGATTTTTGATATGGTCATTCTGCCAGGGTTGAAGTGGTCGGGGTCTAATGTGTTTTGTGTGGTTAGGGGTGCTAAGCAGTCAAGAGCGGCTGACAGTGAGTTGTTATAAACAGTAGTGGCCAGGTCAGGGCAGGACAGGGGAAGGATACTGTCGTAAAGTTGGTCAGCTGCAGAGTGGAAGGGGGCAGGGTCCGGGTTGCGGAGGTTTCGGCTGATGATAGTTTGATGTTTGGAGGGATAG